GATGGAGCTTCGGGGTGTCACTTTCAAAACAAAGTTCGGGTGACAAATGGGTCCAGGGTATGTCGTATTCTATGACAACTTCAGTAAATACTGGATTGTGATTGGTTAATCAAAGTCATTCAGAGGTGTATTATCATGTTATACCTCTGATTTTCCAATTTTCCAACACAGTACGTATTTTTTTTTTTAAATCTTAATTACGCGGTTATGGTAGAATGGAGATAAACATACTGTGTTGGAAAATCAGAGGTATATAACGAAGTCATAATAGATCTAATTTTTTTATTTACAACCTCATGCTACCTGTTCGGTTTTAAATCACATTTAGAGCTATTATAATTTCGTTATATACCTCTGATATTTCCTACACAGTATGTTTATCTCCTAAACAGAACAGAAATATACTAGATAACCAAGGATGAATCAATGCAGGAAATATATTATTTAGACACCCAGGCACACATTCAAACCTAACAATGAAAAAGCTGCAGATACTTGACAATATGTCAGTATGTTTCTTTGTTGTACGTGTTCACTGCACCACTCCAACTGTTGCTTGGTGACATAAGTTGGTCTATCAGAGGACCAGATAAGCTGCGTATCCGGGTAAAATACGCATAGAAAGTTTCCAATTACGCACTGAAAAATAATTGTTGCATACCAATTACGCATTTAAAATGTTAGATACGCAAAAAGTTTAAAACAAATGCGTACGGAGTATATTTATAAAAATCGCTTGCGTAATGAAAAAGACATCGATTGCTATCAAGTTGTACTGTTTTTATAGGACAAGTGTTGTACTGTCAGTATAGGATGAGTGATTTTTTATGAAATCATTTCCATTATATTTAACTTGGTTTTGATTAGGTATGACATAAGGCAGAACATACCTGCTTAGGAAACTTACTCAATGACACAATACTTAGGTGAGTAATATGACTGCAATACGCACATATTTGAAAGCAGTGGGTAACGGAAAATGAAATACCCACTCAACATTCATAATACCCACTCCAAAAAAATACAGTGGGTACAGTACCCACATGAGCTAAATCTTATCTGGAGCTCTGGTCTATCACTGAAGAGGTGAAGCCAAGAATCTTGGCAAATGAATGTACAGTGACCCCCTTCTATTTTATTTGAAAACTATTCTTAAGTCTTCTTCTAAAAGCAGCCAGAGTGGACAGGTGTGGTAGTCATCAGAGGCCCCAAATTTTGTGGTGCAGAGTTATCTCCCTTTGATGTGTCAGAATGCTGATTGAGTTCAACTCCCAGATTTGCCTGATTATGTCTCTTGGTTTGTCAGCACCATGTTCATGGCTTTCCCCTATGTGGTAAACACGGCAGACCTGTATTACTTTGGTTTATCCTCCCACACGAAGCAGACCCACCCACAGTGATAACTGAAATACTGTTCAAAGCAGTGTTAAACCTAGCTGAATCACTCACTTCATGCTATGAATATTACAAAGCTATAAGGGTGTTATGATGGTCTTAAGATCGCTTTACACTAGTTGGCCCTGGAAGACCAAAGACTCTGCATCCTGATACGTAATGAATGACTCTCCTGGCATGAGGGCTGTGTTTTTACCGACTATCTGGGTTTTGTTCCACAAAGCGATCGTAGCGCTACGACTGTCGTAAGTCCATGTTAAAGTATGGTAGTTATGATCATCTTTGCGCTATGAATGCTTTGTGGAACGGGGCTCTGGTTTGGAGTGGTTTTGCTACTGTACTAATCCTTAATTATGATGACATTGAGAGTGCTTTGTCAGTTCAAGTTACAGTAAATCATCCATACAATTATTTTGAAGTAAATTCACTCAAGCCAGGACAGGATTTAAGAAAATTACAAAATATGAAATTTGCTTTCTGTCAGGATGTGAACTGAGGAACCAAGACACTGGCTTATTCCATATGATGAAAATGAAATATGTATGTTTATGTACATTTAGAACTGCATTGACATAAACAGTACTTCCATATTCAAATTACAATGCTTTTAAGAATATCCTGAATAACCCTTTTCAGATTTGTGTGGTATTTCCTATTGACCAAGGCCATAAGCTTGGGGTTTTGCCATATAAATATGAATGATAATATATGAAAGACCTATTTCTATACAGTGTGTCCCCTTAAAATATTCAAGCAATGTAACTTACATGAAACAAGTTACAGAAGATACATTAGAAAATTGTATTCATCTATTTTAAAACTTAAAAATCAATATTGAGGCAAAATAGAACCTGAATCTAAAAGTTTTTTGCCCACTTCAGGTTCTCTTAGTCATCCTGGAAGGAGCTGTAAAGTTTCATTATGCGGTAACATGTTGTTAGTATCAAGGAACTGAAATTGTACCAGGATGTAGCCAAGCTTCCTCCCTGAACCACACATCCATAGCAGAAATTTTCTCAGAAATTTAAAAAGCATTTTTAAGTTATATTTTAACCCTTTAATGCTAACACATTGCCTGACAATATCACTTTTACATTGCTTGGGTCGTACAGTAGTATTTTTATAGATCTAGTTTTTACCGGGCTGTTTGAAAACCGAGCTCAAATCTGATTCAGATTGTTACAGTTCAAGGTTTGAAATATCATGTTTGTTACCAACAGTGACACAATGTTGCTGACTTTCTTATAATGCAATGGTGTGTTTTTGAAGAATGTATTAGTTTGACGAAATTCATGTGTAATGAATATTCTTACTCTATAAATAGTGGACCGAGAGTTAGGAGGAAGGTCCAACTTGAATACATGCAGTATTTTCCATGAATACAATTTCACTGAAAACCACAAAATATTCTTCAGTTCATTTCTACCTGGGGTAGAAAAAGAAAGTTATTTTGGTCGTAGATTTAGGTGTGAATATTGACAGTAATTTATTGAAAGATATTGGTTCTAAAGATGAATTTTGTACATATTCCCTCAGTTCAAGTATGCAAACAGAATTTGCTGGTACATTGGTTTGCATTTATTCCACCAAATACTGTTATGTCATAATCGTTTCTATTTTTGTACAAATTTATACATTACTAGTAGTTTCTTAACATTTAAAATTAGATATTTTAAGGTAATGTGTATATCTAAATTCAGTATATTGTTTTGTATGTCAATTTGATATCTAGATTTGAACACTATTGATGTAACCACTAGGACGGGGCGATATTTAGCAATAACACCACATACCCTTCCTTTAAATACTTTAAACTGTAACAAAGATATTGCACAAAATGCTGAAACAATGACTGAGTTTGATGTACATGACATATATACTGAGGGAAAAAAATAAGGGATCAGATGTAAGGAAAAGTGTCCATTATTTTTTTCCAAGGTTTCTTCACAAGCTTTGTGTCGTATAGCTTGTGAAGAAACCTGGAAAAAAATAAGGGAACGCTTGTGCTTTCACGTGATCCCTTATTTTTTCCCCTTAGTATATGTGTGAAAATGTTTATTACACTCAGAATTCCTGACATTTCACAAGGGACGGGATTGTTTAGACTTCATATAATAGACATTATTTATCTAACACAGTAAAACATTCCAACATAGTAGAAGTAAAATTTTGGGCAAGCTTGGACAAAAACTGATGACCAATTTGTTACATTTATCCTAAGCTAGCCTATTTCATGATCCGATTCTGTTAGTTATAATTTGATGTGCACATAACAGGTTTGATAAAGATATGTAAGAGGCTGTTCTTATCAGTTGCAAATACAGAAAGTTTTTTTCCTTATCACAATTTCTTTAAAGGCCAGAGACAGTCTCTTTCTTTATGCAAATAGTAATAATATTGGTGTGTGGTAAACTTTGTCAGATAAGTATGGTCCCCTCTTTCCTTACAGTTTAATATCAATTGTACTCCACTGTGTAGATATATCTAATTTTGTACAATTTATATGACAGTATTTCTACTGCTTATGCTTCCACCTCAGACATACGTTGTTATATCTGTTGAATTTTCAAGAATGGAAGTTTTATAAATATTTGTTCAGTAACATTCCAATATTCAAGCGCTTGGAATAAACAATAAAATATTGCTTGAAAGAAAGTGTTTGTCTTCATTCTCAAAGCCTCTTAAAGATGTGAAAACCATCCACATGATGTCAGGAGAACCTTCTGGTCAGCAAGTCATGGCAGTCTAAGTAAACTTAGGATTAGTATTATTCGTTACACTGCTATACTGAGTTTAACAAACCCCAGTAGAAGGTCGCGTCAGCTAACCTTTTGAATTTACCAATCAGAACACAGCTTACCAAATCACGAAAGTTAACATTAGAACATAACATTTGAATTTTTACCTTGAAAACGTTTGTCTTCGAACAATTCCAAATGCTCGATCACTTTCGATGATACGCATGGAGAACATCATTATTCACAACAGTGAGTAAACAGTCTCTGAAAATAGCGTTTTTGTCAATATTCCAGGATGTCATCTTGCGGAAATATAAGATAATAGTAACAATGTCATCAGAAACCTCTAAGCGTATATACTACCGGTCAAATATCTGTGTTTTATGCAGTTGAGAGATCAGTGTCAGTAACTGGGAAAGAGAAAATTTTGAAAAAAGTCCCGCCGAATACTAAATAGTAGCCGTTGTCTGACTGATTAAACCTGTTCAGCTGTCTCGTGTTTGATTGGACGGTCATAGGTCGCTCAAAGGTTAGCTGACGCGACCTTCTACTAGGGTCTGTGAGACTCAGTATAGCAGTGTAACGAATAATACTGAGCCTAAGTTTACTGCAAATCATGGTCACTTGAAAACAAGTGTAAATAGGCAGTTCTGGATGGTGTACAAGAAAGGCTGTTCTCCATATGTTGTGAATATTTTAGACACCCTTTTGTTTCTGGTTTGGTTTGTTTGTTGTTTAATGCTGCACTCAGCAATATTCCAGCTATTGACGGTGGTCTGGAAATATTCTAGTTTGGACCAATCAATCCAGGTAAGTTGACTTAAATTTAAAAACTGCTTTGACAATATTCTATGCTGCAGCAACTCAGTGAGGAAGGAAAATGCTTAACAAGCCCGAGACCCTTTCACTTGGGCGAAACTCACAAACACACACATATAGAATGAGCAAGAGAGTATGGTTTTATTGTTGGTTTTGGCAATATTCCAGCAATATCACATAAGGGTACACCAGAAATGGGCTTCACTTGTATGGGCAGACACTTTAACTGTTAGGCTACTCCATCGCCTCATGGACCTCAGCGGTGGAAATAACCCATTGCCCGACGCCCAGGCCAGTGTTTTTTTCTGTCGGGCTAGCAAATTTGTATGTCACGCTGTACAGGTGTCCAGTTGACTTTCCAATGTTAATTATGTTGTTTATTTAAGAAATCAACAAGAAAATCAGCCAGTATAGTGGAAAAATTATCAGGGCAAGTGATTTTACATGTGCCAGTGTACCGGAGTACATTAGCAATTTTAAAGTTATTTCCACCCCTGGACCTATTTAACAACCAAAGACAATACATGAACTAAAGGTGATCTAGGACCTCCATGCACAACAAGCAGATCCTGGCATAGCCATGGGAAACAACAAAAAACTGAGTCAAGTCAGGCCACTGGGCCAGTCACAGTTAGCTTCAGTCTCACAGCTCGTTCACATATGTGCGATGTCTAATTTCTGTTTGCTTAATGATTCTATTCAAACGTATCACAAGAAAGATGCAGGAAAGGTTTATGTATTTACTTAACATGACCTATCTGCAGTGAGCACAGTATCTGTCTGCGCTGGCTTATCAGCTCAAAGCACAAGGGTGTAAACAGGCCATCCTGAATGATCACAATCTGGCCTCAACCAGGAAGTAGAATGAGGGCAGGTTGAAGTGCACCACAAGCTATCTTGTGACAAACAGCTTTGTTCTGTCAACCGAGACAACCTGCCTCAATCCAACATGGCTGCCTAAGGAGAGAATGAAAAGGTTGGGCTTCATGCTGCATCTAAGAATATTTCTGTTTCATGATAGCGTATCAGCTTGATGTGGGAGGAGAGCTTGAAAAGATTCTGGTCCGAGATTTTTGCTACTTTGGTGAGAACCATAAGAATTATTATTATGGTGCTGAAAAATCAAGAATCAAAGGTGAATCTGGCATTAAACGCAGGATCATAGGATCCTCGTATTCCTAAGGGAGGCAATGAATGTTGCATTTACAACCTCTCTAAACATTTGCATTTCCCAATGAATTCCCAAACAACCATTTTATCAAAATAATTCTTTCTTCTATTTTGTGGAATATATAGTCAGTCATTTTCTACCAAGGCATATTTAGTATCACATAAGATTAAAAGATTGCTAGTGAAGTAGTTAAACTCTCCTGGGTCTGAATATTGATCTTCTCTGGTGTCCAACATCCTTTGGAGATTGCCTGATATCTTCAGCTGGCGGAGTATTTGTGACAAGGTCAGGAAGGGTCATGTCATCATCAAAATCCTCCTCCTTCAACTCAACACCGACTTCATTCTGAAGGAGAAATATATACTTGACTATTTCACAAGACACAATGAGAGTAATTTAACGTTGCTGAAAATATGCAGAGGCTTTGCTAAACTAATGTCCCTTCACCAGTCACTTAGGTTTGGGATATAAGGCAGTGTAAGAAACCTTTCAAAATTTCCCACTAGACCACAGGTCCAGTGAGTGGACAATAATTAGTGGTCCTGTCTGAACTTCACTGGTCCAAAATAGCATTCGTAGATTTACTTAACTATCAATAGAAAAATTCACTGGCCACCAGGTCCACTACAAACTTATCATTCAGTGGCCCTGATGAATTTTAACTAGCCAGGGACCACAGAACCACTCAGGCCAAGTTGGTCATAATACAAGTCTAGATGAAATTCTGCAAAATTACTTAAAAAGGCTCTGTTACAAATTGGAAAAATACTTTACTTCACGCCTTTACCTAATTCTTCACATTTTAAATATTTAGAGGAAAACAAAAGACATAAAATGTAATTGAGATAGCATTTGGAAATAAATTTATCAACATTTAATTCAAATTATTATCATGCTATCAATAATATCAATTTTTTTCTTGTTTTCTTCATAACTTACCACACTCCCAAATATTTCCTTACCATATTAGTAAAACGAACATTAAAAAACATCTGGGCTGAACGTCGTAACCCTACTTTTAAAAAAATATGGGTGTTATAATAACATCAACAATATATATACTGTATTTGTTTTAACTGATTTAATACACACACATATTAAAAAGTTCTGCATTTAATTTAATCCAAACTACATGTAGTATAGATGATAAAAATAACCAAGTTGAACTCACTATATTTGGACTGAACATGAAATATTTCATACTTTATAAAAAAAAGAAGAAAGAAATATTTTGTAACCATTTTTTCAGATCATAAATCTCTCAATGCACAGTGTTATAAGTATATTTGTATTGTATAATGACAGATTTTATTGTAGAATTAGTCTGTTTTGTTCTTTTATATACATCCAGTGATGTCATGATGCCCAAAGGGTTTATTTCTTGTATTAAAAGCTAATTAACTGAAAGAACATGTTTCTGTAATTTCTTGTAAAGATTATAGTTGAAAGGAGATATAACAACAAGCTAGATACTGACCAAATGTATAGTTCTACCAATTCAATGAATATAAAATACAGGTCTATATTTCCACGACAGCATTACATGTAAACCTATAATGCACAAGTTCATATAAATATAATAGCTATCTCGTACTTGGGTCGCAATGTCCTGCTGAAAACAGCCTTCAACTGATACAGATAGGAGCCTTGCTTTGCAAGCTGGGCGGAAATCTATAAATAGCTCTCCCTGCTGGGAAAGTAGGTCAGTCATATCAACCATGAATTTCTCCAGCAGCAGCAAGTAAGCCTCCATAGCTCAGTGGTTAGAGCACTGGTCTTGTAAACCAGGGGTCGGGAGTTCGATCCTCCCTGGGGGCTGGCTGGTGTCTTTTTAATTTTGTAAAAATATTTTCTACTATTTTGGATTTTATCAATCATGTTTTGGTTAATAAGCAAAAAGCATGATTAAAACAAAATGCACAAATTTTGATTTGAGGATAAATTTCTTAATATCTTGAAAAGATAAATGTTTAAAACACAGAAAAGAAATTGAACCACAGCATTATAATTTATTTTTTATATTCGTTTGGCAAAAATTACGGTGCCAGTTAGCCTGAATCAATGTAAAACAAAACAAATTGGGCCCAAGTTACTAACACTATTCACAAGTGTAATTGTCAGTTGCTTCCCAGGAATCAGATGTTTCTGGTTGAGACATATCTCTAGTATTGCTTTCCATCTATCTCCATACTAGCCCTGTGGGACATTCCTGACTAGCTATTCAAAACAGGCAATGTAATGGATTGACTCAGTGACTTTGTTCCGTGTTCGTCATCATATTCTAACAGGTAGTTATATCAGTCTTTGAATTGTCTGGTACAGACACGATTGTTTACATGGACCATAGTCATACAGTTGGAATATTGCTGGGTGGTGTTAAACCACCACAAAACTAATCGATATATTTGAACTATACATAAAACCGGTATGTACAGACAGATGGACAGAGTCACAGAGATACTCCAAGGCATCAGCTCACTTGACGTTACCATACGTTGTCCAAGAAATACTCTTTATTTCTCCAAGCTTAAGTGAAATATCGACTTATTAAAACTGTAAAATAGGCTAATTAGAAATTAACTAGCCTGCAACTTACAGGGTTTTACGTTTTACTTCGACTCACAAACATGGGGCTCCCAGGGACCCCTATTTGTTAGCTCTAAGGGTCCTTGCAGGCAAAACAAGGGTCCTGTGAAGTAACAGTTTAGAGAACTGTACCAGGGGTGGAAATAACTTTAAAATTGCTAGTGTACTCCGGTACAGTGGCATAAGTAAAATCACTTGCCCTGATCATTTTTCCACTATACCGTCCGTTTTCTTGTTGATTTTTTAAATAAACAACATTATTAACATTGGAAAGTCAACTGGACACTGGTACAGCGTGATATACTACAAATTTGCTTGCCCGACAGAAGGAAACACTGGCCTGGACGTCGGGCAATGGGTTATTTCCACCCCTGGTCCAGACTTACGTTGGTATTATAGCGGTAACATACTGATGTACCATGTTGCAGTTTGAAATGGATACACCACACAGAGTATATATACTCTGAACCAAAGGTCCTTGTTTTATCTCCGGGATGTTTGGTGCCATGAAGGGTACAAGAAGAAGTACCATCTATTAACATCTTTGTATGAGGCGACCATGGATCAGTTGTCATATGACTAAATTGACATTGTTTGATAGAAACCAGTTCTGTTTGATTGGCATTGTAGAAGTTGGTGAGTAATAAGAAAGTAAGATACTTCATGGATAACAATAACCAGGGACTGGAAATAACTTCAAAATTGCTAGTGTACTCCGGTAGAGTGGCACACGTAAAATCACTTGCCCTGATCATTTTTCCACTATACCAGCCATTTTCTTGTTGATTTTTTAAATAAACAACATTATTAACATTGGAAAGTCAACTGGACACTTGTACAGCGTGATATACAAATTTGCTTGCCCGACAGAAAGAAACACTAGACTCAGACATCGGGCAATGGGTTATTTCCACCCCTGGTCCAGACTTACGTTGGTATTATAGCGATAACATACTGATGTACCATGTTGCAGTTTGAAATGGATACACCACACACAGAGTATATATACTCTGAACCAAAGGTCCTTGTTTTATCTCCGGGATGTTTGGTGCCATGAAGGGTACAAGAAGAAGTACCATCTATTAACATCTTGGTATGAGGCGACCATGGATCAGTTGTCATATGACTAAATTGACATTGTTTGATAGAAACCAGTTCTGTTTGATTGGCATTTTAGAAGTTGGTGAGTAATAAGAAAGTAAGATACTTCATGGATAACAATAACCAGGGACTGGAAATAACTTTAAAATTGCTAGTGTGCTCCGGTAGAGTGGCACACGTAAAATCACTTGCCCTGATAATTTTTCCACTATACCGGCCGTTTTCTTGTTGATTTTTTAAATAAACAACATAATTAACATTGGAAATCAACTGGACACCAGTATAGTGTGATATACAAATTTGCTTGCCCGACAGAAAAAAACACTGGACTCGGACGTCGGACAATGGGTTATTTCCACCCCTGCTGTACCTTTTGATAATTTCTTGAGAGCCTAGAATGAATCATTGATCATGTGGACTGATGTATAAAATTATGCACATAACTGCTCAGAAAGAAACAACCAAACATATTACAAAAAATCGTAGATGTGTTTTGGGACAATGAATAACATTGTGCGTCCCACTGGATGCAGAGAATTTGGGGGGCCCATTCTCAACATTTGTGCGTACTGGACCCACATTTGTGTGTTGCGTAAAACCCTAACTTACAATTACAGGTTATCTGGCCTAAGTGAATGAATTTTGAAAGTACAACATGTAGACCATGGCAATATAGGACTGTCATCATTGGGCAAAATTGATAATTTAAGCATCTCATTCTACCCCCGTTGTGTAGTAACCGATGACACATTGTTCTTTTCATCTCCTGTTTTAATAAATCTTATGTCTCACCTCTTTAACTAAGTGAGAAAAATTGGAAACACAAAGTCGGTTGCTTGTGCTGCTCTCAGGAATGGACTCTTGAGGCTGCAACATAAAAAACATCAGACGATATTCAGCTCTGTCACAATTGTCCTTTCTGAAAACCATCAGTATGGTCAGTTATTCCTTTTGAATGTACAGCCAATATGTACTGAGTGATCCAGCTTTGTTTCCTTCGAACTCACACAGGGTAGGTGGGGTATTGCCTAAGCCCAGTAGTTAAGGCATTCACTCATTGTGCCGATGCCCTGAGTTCGATTCTCCACATGGGCACAATTTGTGAAGCCCATTTCTGTTGCCCCCCTCTGTGATCTTGTTGGAATATTGCTATAAGCGGGCGTAAAACTAAACTCAAACAAGACTGTTGTGTGTTGTAATGCCATTTGAATACCATCAGTCACCAAATATACTTCCCATCAAAAGTTTAGACTCATAAGCGTAAATATAGCCACTTACTTCAGGCAACTGTTCTAAACTAAATTTTGCAAAATATTCCATACTGTTTAAAGGTACTGTTTACACATGAACTGATGTATTCTAAAACAAATTCGTAACATTGAAAAGGTTATTGCCATGAGTTCAACAAATGATACAAATCAGTGAAAATTGGTGAATTCATAACAAAACTTTACACCAAATCGCAGCTGTTCACATGCACGATATTTGCACATGCTTTTCAGCAATTTGATGCATGATCCTCGTGCAATTCATCTGCATAAGGTTTGCAGTTGGTTCCCCCAAGTTAGTGGAGAAACCAATGTTTGATGTAACCATATAGATATACATAACAGATAGTGAGTCTAAACTTTTGATGGGAAGTATATGATCTCAAATGCTTACTTGCTCACCACTCCAATTTGAAACTATGTCACATTTATGGTCTAACTTTTGCGACTCTACTCACATACATTCTGACTCTGTCAGGGCCACTGGGAGGTAAGTTAATAAGCCCAGTGACAAATTCTAACCAAGATCCCAACTGGGGCAGAGATGCTTGTTTGGGTTCACACTCAGCAGTATTTCAGCAATGATGGCACCTGTCAACAATTCAGTAATTCACAATTCAGGGTTTGTACACATTATCAGCCACAAAATCTAATGCCTTTTCAGGTCTATTCAAGACCTATCCAACAAAGAATTTTAAGGCCTTAACGATGCACATATGAAACAATTTAGCAGTTCAACAGTGGACCGACCATGAAAGGGAAATCACTCATAGCTACATCGCTGTGATGGGAATGATTTGCTTTGCAATAGAGATTAATCAACAACCATTATAATTGCAAGGTATTTTTCATGTTTCAGTTTTCTGTAATATAATAACTTGACAAGTTTTGATAAATTTAGGAACTATTCAGGACAAATCACTGGCAATTAAGGCCTTTTCAAGGCTTAAATGAATGTAGGGCCTTTTCAGGGTAAAATGTTCACATTTCAGGCTATTTCAGCCTGTGCGAACCCTGCAATTTGATATTGTGATCAATGGCATCTCCTTAAAATGACTTCTTATCAACATGATTCTAATCCATTGGGTCACTTCAACCAGTTGGAGTTGCTGCGGACTTATTCTAACACAGAAACCCTTTGGTGCAGATGTGTAATTCTTTACTTGGGGCTTGAATGTATCTTCATTATGCTGTGGATGCTGATGCTGATGCTGTTTGCGTTGTTGTTGCACTGCCTTCAGTCTCAGCTGCTGTTGAAGGCCGTTCAGCTCTGTTTGGAGTGACATACATTTCGCTTCGAGATGAGCAGAATGTAATCCCTCCAGTTCTTTGTGTAATCTGGAAAGAGCATGTATCGATGTCTGGATGATTGATTATAATACAACATGAAATTCAAATTTCAGCCACTTCAAAGTAGTGTTGTACAGTGCTGTGAAACCATGGATTGAGGGGAGGTGATGTGAGGTGAGACTTATCACCATTATGTTATTGTAACTGCAAAGATTATTGCAAGGTGCATGCAAGGGTGCAGGTGCATTTTCTGGTCTTGATTTGAGTTATAGTGCCAGTCAACAGTGACACCAGTAACACCATGCCAAACTTTAAGATAGATATAACTCTTATACACATTATACTAATGAAAAGTTAACCAGTCCTTGTTTTATTCCTGTTATGAAGAACAAGGTAACAAGTAACATTAATTTATCACATATATTTATTGATAACAACTTCTTGTACTTTGCGAGAGTGACGTTTCGGTACAGATTCTTGTACTGTTGATGAGCAGGAATGGTACAAGAATCTGTATTAAAATGTTGTATTCACAAAATAAAAGAACTTGTTTTTCATAGATTTTTTGTATTTAACTTCACAACTTCTAAAATGCCACACACAAAAAAACAAGTAACATCTGTTATGTCTTTTGGCATGATGTAGCTGGGTTGTTGGTTTCTTGGTTGGTTGTTGGCGCACTCAGCAATATTCCAGCTAGATGGCAGCAGTCTGTAAACAAGAAGACAAAGTCATCAATATCCCCCGCAATGGCAAAAGTGGAAGGAGAGTATTGAAACGTTTTTAAGATCTGCTCCAGAAAGGAGCACTACCACCAAATGCAGTTGAAGCCTAACTTGTTGCCATGGAAATGCAACAAGATGACATCCTCATAGTCACAGCCTAAGTCATGTTTCAATGGAAACCACAAAAAATAAAATTCATATCTGGGTCTAACCCCCAAAAGGCACATCTAGGGATCATGCTTGATATGTGCACCAAGTTTGATGAAGCTAGCATGTATAGTTTAGGAGATCTGCCCCGGACAAGATGACATCCTCATAGCCACAGCCTAAGTCACGTTTCCATGGAAACAGCAAAAAGTAAAATTCACATCTGGGTCTAACCCCCAAAAGGCACATCTAGGGATCATGCTTGATATGTGTACCAAGTTTGTTGAAGCTAGTACGTATAGTTTAGGAGATGTGCTCGAGACAAGATGACATTCTCATAGTCACAGCCTATGTCATGTTTCCATGGAAACCGCCAAAACTAAAATTCGCATCTGGGTCTAACCCCCAAAAAGCACATCTAGGGATCATGGTTGACACGTGTACCAAGTTTGGTTAAGCTATCACGAATAGTTTAGGAGATGTGCTTCGGACAAAGTGTGACAGACGCACGCACGGACGGACGGACACGCGGACTCACAGAACTCGTTTCTATATCCCCCGCAACTTCATTGTTGAGGTGGATAATAATTTAAGTCTGGACCAGACAATCCAGTGATCAGCAGCATGAGCATCGATCTACACAACTGGGATACAATGACATGTGTCAACCAAGTCAGTGAGCCTGACAATCCAATCCCATTAGTCGCCTCTTACGACAAGCATGAGTTGATGTAGCTGGGGACCCAACCACCTTCCTTTCTGGTGCTGGCGGACATCCACTGTAGTCCAATCATGATGAATATGTGGCACAACTAGAGGCTGAATGAATTGAGTGGGCTGGTAGTCACATACAGAGTCCTTCAGTCTACAGGTTGCAGAGGTTTCAGTTGTACATACACAACAAATAATATATAAGTAACATTACATTCATTATTACAGTAGATTATCATCTAAATTTATGAACAATTTCCTTTAGAGTCATTGTTTTTAGTCCTCAACCAGAAAATCTTTGTACATTAGGACTGCACAATATTATCATGGAATAATGAATTTTCGTATGAATTATTATTCCATGATAACTGGGTCATTAAGCCATCTATTGTAACACCATAACCATCCAAGCAGCATGTCAGCACAATTAGTGCCAGTAAATTAGAAAGCATCCAGGACATATGTCAACACAATTAGTGCCAGTTGAAATAGGATTAGCAGGATTAAGTACTAGTATTCCCCCTGTCTGGTCATTTCATTTGTAGGACACACCCCAATTTGTATATTCTGTATTTCATTGGCTTTTATAGGGCACACCCATTTTTGTATCAGTCAACCAATCATAATCTCTTCCTTGTTTCAGTTTTAGATAAATAGTCACCAACTCCGATTTTTTGTCAGTAGGATTTAGACTCCCAACACAGGTCATCTCTAGCCCTCAGCCCAGAGGGTTGTACCGACTCTCTGTGGCCACCCCATGTTATTTTTTGTTTCTTGTTAATAAAATTGTAATTAGCTTCTTGTGACTTCAGACTCTTTACTGAGCTAATTCCCCAAAGCAGACCACCACGCCAGTTAGATAAGGGGTTTCACCAGAACCCTCACTTGGACCCCAGACCCCTATCATAATAATATTACCTGTGCTCTGCATACTGCAGGTCACACTTTTCAAACATGACATTGTAATTATCTCTGTTTTCTGGTATAACAGGTAAAACATATCATAAAACATACTAATCCTGTTATTTAACCTTCAAAATTGATCGACACAAGAGTGGGAACAGGGATGTGATTTTTCTCTGATGTTACCTCCCCTTTATCATTGACAACAAAATGGCGGCAACTGGTCATGCCACCTTTGACATTTTAACATTTATACCAACCAAAATCCATTCCTATGACTCAAATATGTTACAGCTTTGACTGACACTTTCATTGCCAACCCAGGCAGTCAACTAATACCCTTCATTGCAGGAAGCATGTCACCCATTTACAAATCGCACAAGGTGCAGCCCAATAATGGCAGAAGAGGAAAATACACGTAACCTACATCCTACATAATGACAATTTACATTCTTATACAAAATTTTCCTTACTGGCAATTTTCAGCCTGTAATGTTTTATAAAGAAGGCTTACAACTTTTGTATCAAGCTCAAGTATTTACACAACCTTATATACCAATAGTTTAGTTATGCTTAAGTTTCATGCCAATATGATACCTGCATCCACATACACTTTAAACTCCTCTCCGTTCAAAGGGAGGCCTGCAACATGTGATTTCTCTTTCTCAAGGCCTTCAACCAGCTCTTGGGCAGCCCTGATCTCTTGCTCAAGCTCTACAACAAGAAGAGTCCTAACATATCTTGGATCTGTCTATAAAACCATAGAGACCTAGCAAAAGACAAAGCACCACAGATAATCCTGAAAATCCATGTAACATTTGGAAACACGTACAAATAACACATATCTGAGATACAGTGTTCATTCCAGCATTTATAAAAAGTGAGCCCACAGCCCTCAGTTATGTGGGTCATTTAGAAAATATTGTGGGTCATGTCAAATTGCTGTGACTTTTTAGCCATACACTACTAGTTACTACAACCGATGTGTTCACCATGGCAACAAACATATGAAACTGCAACATCCAGCGTGATTGGTTAACTTAATTTAACATAGCACAACCACTTTTACTAAGCACCCTGTCTTTTTTATTACACCGATTTGCAGGTTCCGCACTATCATTCTAAACACGAGTTGATAGCCATGAGCTGAGATCAGAGTACACCAAACTTGTTTCAGCGAGAATAGGTGTATTGTTGTTTTTTAAAGATGTTATTTCAGATTGACATTTATGGATGCCCCAACACAACCCACTCGTATCTGTACAGTGCGCCATGGCGAGAATGGTGCAAGGGTGCGGCCTAGAATGAACACTGGAGATACCATCAATATCAGATTGAAAAATGTAAACGATCACAGCATATTCTTCAAGGACACATGTTCTTTATTTCTATATGAATCTGTCACATTGTCAACAAAAACAAATGTGTTTTGTGAGAAAATCTATACTGTGTCATTGTGTATATATATCTCTGATTGTGAAAACCGTTAACAGACACATATTCCCTAATATAATAACATAACACAACAACCTTTTAATGTTTCATGTCAAACAAATAACTGGTTCTCAGACAATGGTTGTGTGCAGGCATGCAAGGAAAGTTCTTCCTAGTACAAGTGTGAGTGACAATAATGTGCTTCTTGTAACTGGGTATTAATTGACCTCCCTGTGCAGAGTACTTAGCCATGTCCCATCAGAGGTCAATAGAAAGGCAATAAACGAGCCAAGATATATTCATTTATGACCTACCTGCTAACTGAACTTTGGTTTCTTCCAAATTGTTTTTGGCCTGGTGGAGCTCTTCTTCAAGTGACTGGCCTGCAGTTCTCACCTCCCATTTGTGAGAACTCCCAGTTGTGAGACTCCCAGTTATGAGACAGTGGAGTAGGTAATTAACAAAGAAAACACACCATACTCCCCTGCCTGATAGAATGGATTAACCCTAGCTAATTACTGATTTGCTATGTAACTGAATCTTTTGGAGGTAACTTAATGAAACTTTATAAGATAAATTGATTAACATACTCCAGTAAATGTCCTTAAAAATTAAACACTTTGATAATGATAATAAAATATGTTTAAACCAAAATGACTTTCAAACTTCATAATAGTCAATAAAAATGTGTTATCATAATTACATATTCTTCTGAATAAATAAAATATTTAATGAACTATTTCTTCTTTGTAAATAAAATCTTTGATAATCTATTTCATTAATCAACTCATCAATGAACTATGCCTCCTGTGGGTACTCTTCAACAACTGGGCTGATCCCACTTTCATTGTGGGGATGTGGAAACACCACCTATGTGCACTGAACCATTAATTAATGTGTCTCACAACTGGGAGTTCTCACAAATGGGAGGACACCGACATATTTTTCCTTTTGCCTTATGAAAGCTCTAATACAAAAGAGGTCTCCATAGAGGTTTCAAACAAAGTCAGGCAGAGTAAGTGAGTTTGGTAGAAATCACAAGCACGGTACTGAACAAAGTAGCACTAAGTTGCTATTATCACCAGTCGGGAAATGTACAAGTTTTCTCAGTAAGTACTTTGAGGAGTCATTACTGAACAGTGTTATGAAACTATTTTTATATATCTTTACATATTCCTTACCTTCAGTAAGTTGCTGCAGTGGTAGCTCCAGCTGGTCAGCTTGTTCCCGAGCCTCCTTTTCCCTTCTTGCCGAACCTGAGCTGAGCAGGTCATAGTCCTCACCAAACAAACTTACTTCTGTGCTGAACTCGGACATAGTGTTCAGCAACTCAGTCTGAAGCTCCTTCTGTAAACATAAAAGGCATTCATTAGGCCAGTGTATAAGGGGTTGAGTCGGTGTTGGATGGGTTTGGATGAGGACATGAGGTGGTATTTGATGGATTGGGATGAAGTGGTACAGGATGGGGTTGGATGAGGAGGCCTTGGATGTGTTGGGATAAGGTGGTGATGGATGGGTTGGGTTGAGGTGGTGTTGGATGGGTTAGGATGAGAGGGGTGTTGGATGGGCCCTGTGTTGGATGGGTTGGGATGAAGTGGTGCTGGATGGATTGGGATGAAGTGGCGTTGGATATTTTGGATGAGGAGGTGATGGATGGGTTGGGTTGGGGTGGTGTTGGATGGGTTGGGATGAGAGGGGTGTTGGATGGGCCCTGTGTTGGATGGCTTGGGATGAAGTGGTGCTGGATGGATTGGGATGAAGTGGTACAGGATGGGTTTGGATCAGGAGGCATTAAATGGGTTGGGTTGAGGTGGTGCTGGACAGGTTGGGTTGAGATTGTGTTGAATGGGCTGGGATGAGGTGGTGCTGGATGGGTTGGGATTAGGTGGTGCGGGATAGGCTCGGTTGAGGTGGTGTTGGATGGGTCGGGATGAGGTGGTGTTGGATGGGTTTCGTTGAGAGGGTGCTGGATAGGTTTGGATGTTGTGGTGTTGGATGGGTTGGGATGTGGTGTTGAATGGGTTGAGATGAGGTGGTGTTGGATGGGTTGGGATGTGGTGGTGTTGGATGGGTTGGGATGAGGTGGTGTTGGATGGGTTGGGATCTGGGGGTGTTGGATGGGTTGGGATGAGGTGGTGTTGGATAGGTTGGGATGTGGTGTTGGATAGGTTGGGATGTTGTGGTGTTGGATGGGTTGGGATGTGGTGGTGTTGAATGGGTTGGGATGAGGTGGTGTTGGATGAGTTTGGATGTGTGTGGTGTTGGATGGGTTGGGATGAGGTAGTGTTGGATGGGTTGGGATGTTGTGGTGTTGGATAGGTTGGGATGTTGTGGTGTTGGATGGGTTGGGATGAGGTGGTGTTTAATGGGTTGGGATGTGGTGGTGTTGGATGGGTTGGGATGAGGTGGTGCTGGATGGGTTGGGATTAGGTAGTGCGGGATAGGCTCGGTTGAGGTGGTGTTGGATGGGTTGGGATGAGGTGGTGTTGGATGGGTTTCGTTGAAAGGGTGCTGGATGGGTTGGGATGAGGTGGTGTTGGATGGGTTGGGATGTGGTGGTGTTGGATGGGTTGGGATGTGGTGGTGTTGGATGGGTTGGGGTTAGGGGTGTTGGATGGGTCGGGATGTGGTGTTGAATGGGTTGAGATGAGGTGGTGTTGGATGGGTTGGGATGTTGTGGTGTTGGATGGGTTGGGATGTGGTGTTGGATAGGTTGGGATCTGGTGGTGTTGGGATGAGGTGGTGTTGGATGGGTTGGGATGTGGTGTTGGATAGGTTGGGATGTTGTGGTGTTGGATGGGTTGGGATGTTGTGGTGTTGGATGGGTTGGGATGAGGTGGTGTTGGATAGGTTGGGATGTGGTGTTGGATAGGTTGGGATGTTGTGGTGTTGGATGGCTTGGAATGTGGTGGTGTTGAATGGGTTGGGATGAGGTGGTATTGGATGGGTTGGGATGTGGTGGTCTTGTGGTGTTGTGGTGTTGGATGGGTTGGGATGTGGTGTTGGATAGGTTGGGATGATGTGGTGTTGGATGGGTTGGGATGTGGTGGTGTTGAATGGGTTGGGATGTGGTGGTGTTGAATGGGCTGGGATGAGGTGGTGTTGGAGGGGTTGGGATCTGGTGGTGTTGGATGGGTTGGGATGAGGTGGTGTTGGATAGGTTGGGATGTGGTGTTGGATGGGTTCGGATGTTGTGTTGGATAGGTTTGGATGTTGTGGTGTTGGATGGGTTGGGATGTGGTGGTGTTGGATGGGTTGGGATGAGGTGGTGTTGGATGGGTTGGGATGTGGTGGTGTTGGATGGTTTGGGATGTGGTGTTGGATAGGTTGGGATGTTGTGGTGTTGGATGGGTTGGGATGTGGTGGTGTTGAATGGGTTAGGAGAGAGTGAAATAGGTGGATGGGTGGTTTTGGATAGGCTGGGATGTGGAGTGAATGGGTGTTGGATAGGATTTGGAGGGGTGGTGTTGTTGGATGGGTTGGGATGAGGATTGATGGATGTTGGATGGAATTGGGATGTGGTGTTGGATAGGTTGGGATGATGGGCTGGGATGTGGTGGTGTGAATGGGCTGGGAGGTTGTGGCGTTGGATGGGCTGGGATGTGGTGGTGTTGGATGGGTTGGGATGTGGCGGTGTTGAATGGGTTGGGATGAGGTGGTGTTGGAGGGATTGGGATCTGGTGGTGTTGGATTGGTTGGGATGAGGTGGTGTTGGATGGGTTGGGATGTTGTGGTGTTGGATGGGTTGGGATGTTGTGGTGTTGGATGGGTTGGGATGTTGTGGTGTTGGATGGGTTGGGATGTTGTGGTGTTGGATGGGTTTGGATGTTGTGGTGTTGGATGGGTTGGGATGTTGTGGTGTTGGATGGGTTGGGATGTGGTGTTGGATAGGTTGGGATGTTGTGGTGTTGGATGGGTTGGGATGTTGTGGTGCTGGATGGGTTGGGATGAGGTGGTGTTGGATGGGTTTGGATGTGGTGTTGGATGGGTTGGGATGTTGTGGTGTTGGATGGGTTGGGATGTTGTGGTGTTGGATGGGTTGGGATGTGGTGTTGGATAGGTTGGGATGCGGTGGTGTTGGATGGGTTGGGATGTTGTGGTGTTGGATGGGTTGGGATGTTGTGGTGTTGGATGGGTTGGGATGAGGTGGTGTTGGAGGTGATGCTGGGTTTATTAGGATTGGTTGATAAACTACAACTAGTTTACAATGGCAGCACACAGGAGGTGTATATAATTGCCTTGAAACCATTATCAAAAAAGTTCTAATGTCATCAATGTTTGAACAAAGTTTGTTCCCTATCACTTGATGTCAGAAAACAGGTGTCTATGAAAAGTAAATGTCTACGGTCTCAAATTGTCAGTCCAAGGTGCTTATTAGTAAACAGTAATAGAGCAAAATCCTCATGAACAAAACTGCCTACCAGCTGTGATTTGACATGGTCACTCTCCACCTCCAGGGCCTGTCTCTGCTCCAACAAGATGGCCTGCCTCGATGTGAGGAAGGACAGCTTCAGCTCTTCTTGCTTCCAGTGCTGCACCTGTTTGTCAGGCAAATCGGGGAAATAAGATACCTGTACAGTTATATTTATACAGATTCCGAAGAATACATATAAGAAGCCTTGTTTGAAATCAAGATAAATCCACTATTTCGAGATCATGACTAGTAAACTTCAAGATGGACCCATGACACTTCTTGGGGACTACCCCTGTTACCATTAGATAGTTAGATGTTTTTTGTGGACTATTGTAAATATATATTCATTTCAAACTTCTGATAGGATATTTTTCTATATCTTTACAAAATATGAACATTTATTGGATCTTTCGGATGACAATCAGTCAAGTACCTCGAAAATGTACCAAATTGAAACCCACTAGGTATCACTGTTATGGTTATTAAACACTTACAAAACATCTGCTGTTTTCTCACTTATCATATTATTGTTGGTTTGCTGTTAAGAGCCTCACTCACCGCTATTCTAGCTATTTGGCGGCACATATCATAGTAACAGGTGCCAACATTTCAATTACTTAGAAAAGACAACTCTACCTAAAACATCCCTCTAGTTTAAAGTGGCTAAAGTCACAGCATGTAACCTTCAATAGTAATCGTCCTTTAAGTCTCTTGTGTTCATCTTCTGACTCTTCAAGTTCTGTCTCCAAGGAAGACAGTTTGGACTTCACTGAAACATACAGAAAGAGTGTGAGTGAGTTTAGGTTTACGCGGCACTCCACAATATTCAGCTATATGGTGACAGTCATAATAGTAAACAGTAAATAATCGAGTCTGGACCAGACAATCAAGTGATCAACAGCATAAGCATTGATCTAAGCAATTGGGATATGATGACATGTGTCAACCAAATCAGTGAGTCTGACCACCTGATCCCATTGGTTGCCTCTTACAACAAGCATGGGTTACTGAAGATCAATTCTTTACAGGATCTTCACATGTCCATACAGAGATCTCAAGGATGGACTGTGCTCAGGAGCAGGTTGTAACAGTTTTAATTCCAGTATTATATACAGGAAACAGTTTCATGAAAGACATGATAAGGGCCATTAAACATGCATGAAAAAGGCATTAAGGTGTCATTAAACCTTCATTAACCAATCATGAATTAAAAATGACCAGAAGTTTAACGTATCTTTTAATTTGATTTGTTGTTTAATGTCTCACTCGACAATATTCCCGCTATATCACAGTGGTCTGTAAATATTCAAGTCTGGGCCAGACAATCCAGTCACTGACATGAGTATTGTTCCATGCAACTGCGGCATGATGACATACATCAACCCAGTCAGTAAGTCTGACCACCCAATCTTGTTACTAATCTCAAGAATGGGTTGCTGAAGACCAAGTCTAATTCCGATCTTCATGGGTCATTCAAGTTTAATGTAGCCATTGGGGAAGTAGAACAGGGTTAAAAAACAAAAGAAGAGTCTCGACCTAACAAAACTGAACCTACAGATCTGTCTAATCTGTCTAGCTGATATCAACAGCAGGTTGAAGGTTTGTTTGTTGGATACAGTGTAATTGCATAGCTATGTTATGCTGATGAATACACGTAGAGTACAAACTCTATGATAGTCCCCCACAGATTCTTCACACTGTTCAAGAAACACTGTGTCCCTGCTGATTTTTAACCCAAGTTTGGTAAGCAATAGGCCTAGACACATATCAGACCTTTGTGTAAAACTGAAATATTTTTTGTAAACCAGAAGACAGACAAAATGGGCTTACAGTGGAGTTTGCCCAAGGACTTCAAACTGGAGTACATGTAGTTCCATTTACATAGCAAAATTAAGGAGTAAAAAACCCTTTACATTGAAACTGTGTTTATGATTATGTCATGGCTACAGGTCATACTATTGTTATGTGATTGTCTTATTCATTGTGTTTTACATTGTTTCTTTAGACATTCAGTCAAGTGTTATATTTAGAGTGAGTGAGTATTCAGTAAGTTAGCTGCTACGCCACGCTCAGCAATATTCCAGCTATATGGCAGCGGTCTACAGTGGGGATACGATGACATGTGTCAACCATTTCAGTGAGCGTGACCACCCTATCCCGTTAGTCGTCTCCTACGACAAGCATGGGATCAATTCTTACCCAGATCTTCACGGGTTGTTTTATTTAGACGTGTGCTATATTTACACAGACTTTTCTGGAAGGTACTACAAATGTATGGGCCTTCCCAGCTTAGTCTTACCCAGAAAATTATGGAAAGTTTCAGAACAGTTACACTATATAAAAAAAGGGGCATGTTTTGCCTCAATCATCTTACATAACATCTCACACAACAACACCTATAAAGATTAATAAACCCTGGATTATCAGCCTAGAAGGTTGACCATTGTAGCAGTGTGGAGGATATTATCATCAATGTCTTTTTATCCCAATCACTGCACTTATATATAATATTGCGACTGTATTTCTACTACAACTCAATTTTGCACTGCCACTGTAATTCCTTTGCAGTGATTTGTAAACTTAGTTACTTTTGAGTAACACATTCACCATCTTCTTCTTAGAACTTAGGCGAAAGAGAGAAAAAAGAATGTAAGCTTGCTTAACAAGTTTCACTGTGTGAATCTATGATTAATAGAATGTCCCAGTACCCAGTCCTTGTCCTAAATGTAGAGTAAAGTGAGTGGTTGGATACTATTAAGCATAACAATTGTTGGAGTGGATTGTTGCAGTGGTAATATTACCCTTGTAAATGGAATAATTGTATTCCATAAGATAAGATCAATTTGCCAGACCTAGTCATTCTGTCAGTTTCAGAATGCAGCCATAATGCAGCATTTATTCAGAGTATTTTAACATTTTCCTTCAATTGTTGGTAAGGGTCTCGCTCAGTTCATCTCAAATCCAGTCTAAGTAAACTTAGGCTCAGTATTATTTGTTACACTGCTATAGCAGTGTCTCAAATCTAAAATAGACAAAATTGTTAACACTGCCAGTAAAATTTCGGGAGTCAGATTTGAATGTTTATCATCAATATATGAGCGGCAAATCCTGAATCAAGCTGTCAAAATTATATCTGACCCAACTCACTACTTAAATTCGGAATACAACCTCCTCCCTTCAGGCCGCCCCTACAAAGTTCCAATTGTGAAAACTAAGAGAGCCTGTATACCTCTTTTATTCCAAGTACCATATCTCTTTTAAACAAATGCGAAGATACTTAAATCAATGAATTTATCTCTCTGATCGATGTGTCAGTAGCTTTGCTGATGTAACACAAATTCCTGAAAAGGCATTAAAGTATTATTCTATTCTATTCTATTACACATAAAATTACATAATGGCACAAAAGTTAACACTGGTACAACAGATACTATCCGAAAACTAACTTGTCTTTTCTGTTGTACCTTCACCTATTGAGTCAATAGTATTGACATGTTGCACTCCTGATGGACAGTACAAAAGGAACATTCTCAGGGGTGGAAATAACTTTAAAATTGCTAGTGTACTCCGGTACAGTGGCAGATGTAAAATCACTTGTCCTGATAATTTTTTCCACTATACCTGGCGATTTTCTTGTTGATTTTTCAAATAAACAACATAAAATTAACATTCAGTCATTGGAAAGTCAACTGGACACCGGTACAGCTTAATATAGAAATTTGCTTGCCGGACAGAAAAAACCCACTGGGGTGGACTGGGACGTCGGGCAATGGGTTATTTTCACCTCTGTCATTCCAAGCTTTATTCGTGAAATTCAGAAATATTTATCACCCCTGGTTTCATCAAATATCACAAGTGTTTGTTTATTCAGCAATATTCCAGTTAAGGTGTTAAGCTGTTCTGGGAGATATCACGTTCATTTTTCCAGTTTCCGAAATGAACACACTGCTCGTTATATAGTGTATATATTTGCGACCTATTCAAATTCAGATTACATTTCAAATAAATGATGACGTTTGACCAACAACACAGTAGGCTACTGAAATTCAGAAACAATAAAATGTTTCAGTCTCAATTTTCAAGCGCTTCGAATTCCCCGTGTTATTCACTGTCTGCATTGTATTTATGTGTTTTACCTTCTTGTAAATAGTTCTTCTTCTCCTGTGCCTTTCTCTCTGAATGAATAATTTGATCAAACAAGTCATGAAGAGTTGTCGTCATCGTCTGCGTCCAAATTCCAATTCTTTACAGTCGTATTACGCGCCGTAAAATGTTCGGGGCAGAGATAATACTTCCCAAACAACAAATATTGATTTTGTAAGTTTCACCACGCTTCAGACGCATGGAACTGTGGGATTGTAATTTGGAATAAATGTTTCGTACATTTCATAAGAATCTATGTCGAAACGTCGCCTTTCACAGAATAAGAAGTTGCATATTCATAAAATTGTCATCATTCTTCATCACCTCAATTGCTAAAATGCCCATCAAACATAAACAAACGTATAAAAGAAAGTACACATCCCGTTTCGATGTTGGCTGACATTGAAGCAAACAAATAATGGTTATTAGACGATGATGTGTTTTGCTATAGTTGTGTTTTGAAACTTTAAAACGTTTGCTGTGTTCCTGTGTCTGCTCTCAGCCAAGTAACAACGTGATTAAGGGACCGTTCATAATTTATGTGTGTGTGAGAGTGTGAGTGATATGCTGATTTTAAGGTGGGGGTCACCCATTTTGTTCTGGGGAGGTAGGGGGGTCAGCAATTTTGTACATATCAATATTACAAAAATATGCTTAGAAATTATGGGAGGGGGTGAGGTAGTCTTTGATTTTGTACATTACATGCAGGGGGGGTTCACTTACTTTTTACCAAAATTTTAGGAGGGGTCATTCACATTGTACATGCTTCTCCATAAAAATCACCATCACCCCCCTAGCTATCAATCATGAATGGTCCCTAATAACGTTTGTACTCATTAAAAACTAGGGGAACCTTAACTTTCAATTTTTGTTTAAAAATGAATCTCGTACACAGGCAAATTTCACGTCATACACCAATCATCTTTTAAGAGCGATTACTGTACAAACAACTGTGGTCATAAGGAAGTGCAAGTGGTGATGCACTCTCAAAACATTCATTATTATCATATCAACATTGATTGACTCCGATATATCTCTCAAGTTTTTCAATCGTAAATTAACAATGAAATTCCCCTACATTTTTTAAAGAGTAATTTATATTTCTTTGTCAATCCAATTTTCAGTTTGTACTTTCTTTTGCTCTGCTGTGTGCACGGCGATATCATTTAGAAATCCGAGAACTGTTAGATGGAGTGTTAGAGTGAGGTGAGTATGGTTGTACGCTGAGTTTGGGCACAATTCCAACAATGTCAGTGCTGAGGAAACCAAGAATGGGCTTAACTCACAGTACTCATATGGGGAATGGAACCCGGAAACTATGAATGTTTAGATAGACAATTATTTAAGGAAATTCATGTTAAATATTTATGCATAGATTATTAATTTAATTAAGCTCCGACTACAATGATGATTAAATCTCGACAAAACCTAATCTACAAATCCGCTGATGCATATGGTAAAATATCATTATCTTCATTATACACTGCGTAATTAAATGTTGCTACTCTTTCATACAAGACGGGTTCCTAAACAACTACATTCATATCTATCCGTTGAGAAGATAGTATCCGCCCTTCGTTTGTTTCCGGCGCAGGTTTTGGCCATAATACGAGTGGTCACGAATGCATTCGTGACCCACTCGTGTTATTCCGGGACAAGCCGAATGAAAGGGGCGAGTGGTGACGAATGGTCACGAATGCTGACAAAGTTACTTCGGCTGTCCCCGTGAACGATCGATAGTGTCCGTACAGTTTTCGCGTGGAGCCGGTAACCTTTCACCTTATGCAAATTAACACGGGAACCAATCATATTGCTAATAACATCATGTTTCGCGGAATTGATCTATTTATAGCTCTGTTTTCCTGGAAGCACGTTGCCAACAAAAACAACCCATGATTACTGAGTAACCTACTATAAATAGAACCTTTACTCACAGTGTCAAGGTTTAGGCGAGGCTTAGTATGTATTAAATACATATATTCGTCATCGTAACACAGGTATAAAGTACGTCTTGAACATGGCAGAAGCAAACATCCCGTCTACACCTGATTGTGAAAACACCGAAGTTCCACGTGAAGATTCACCGACAATGGCTGAAACAAATTCTCCAACGGGCATGGATCGATTTCTGCAGAAAACCAGAAGGTAACACAATCTAGCAAATTAGCAGTGTCAGCTTATCTAATATCTAAATTTGTTGTTCATGAGACACCGCCCACAGACCAATTTAAGTAAAGTTGACATCGAATCTGTTGTTTTCTTTTCCAATACAAGCACTGCGAACTGCGAAACATCAGTTGAGAACACAGTTGGTTTTTTAACTGCAGTAAGTAAGCAGATAGTGTTCCAGACTAAAAAAAAAAATCATTTTTCATTTTTTTTGTCCAAACGAGTCAGAAGTATTGAAACACACATCTATCACCAACTGAAAAAATATTTTGTGAAAGGTTATATGAACATACAAGAATTAATTTGTCAGTTATACTGACTGACTGACTGACTGACTGAGTTTAGTTTTACGCCGCTTTTAGCAATATTCCAGCAATATCACGGCGGGGGACACCAGAAATGGGCTTCAAACATTGTGCCCATGTGGGGAATCGAACCCGGGTCTTCGGCGTGACGAGCCAACGCTTTAACCACTAGGCTACCCCACCGCCCCTGTCAGTTATACTGCTTCGCCCACTGCGGTCTAAGGATAAGTCTATACTGAGAAAAGTCCATTCGTTCATGCTTTAGCCAATCATGTCAATAGCTTCATAAAATTTGACAAAACTAGATTTCATTTGTATTATTCAATGCACACTTAGTTATTTTCAGCACCATGCTGGTTGGTTTGGTTTTACCATAGTTGTAATGTGACCTAAAACTGCTTTTATTTGGGGCTTTCATTCAACATGAACCCCTGAAGGTCTGGGTTAGAATAAACCTTCAGTAACCCACTTGTCGTAAGAGGCGACTAATGGGATCGGGTGGTCAGGCTCGCTGGCTTGGTTGACACATGTCATCGGTTCCCAATTGCGCAGATCGATGCTCATGCTGTTGATCACTTTATTGTCTGGTCTAGACTCGATTATTTACAGAACGCCACCATATAGCTGGAATATTGCTGAGTGCGGCGTAAAAATAAACTCACTCACTCATTCAACATGACTTGCCGTGATTAAAGCAAAATACTTCTGTAAACTATGATTAAAAGAAACTAAACCAATCACAGACTTTAATTTATCATAACCATATTTTCTTAAAAAGCGTGTCAACTAAACATACAGCAAGTGATTTATATGAAAAAGGTCAGTCTATTACATCCATTAGTTCATTATGAGTGTGTTAATTATAAATGTAGTTCACTGCATTTGAACCAGTGACCAACCTTTCTCACTCACTCACTCTGATTACAGCGAGCTCATGTACGAGCTGAGACAGATTCAACATGGAGAGCGCCCAGTCACTGGTCAGAATCGGCGAGAAAACATCAACCAATTTTTCGCCAAGCATCTTGAGGCACCAGCTGGGAGTGAAGGAAAGGAGAATGTTCCTGCCAATGTTGACACTGTTGAGGAGCATCGACCAGAGTCTGTTGTCGTTGAAGTTGAGGGCTTGTTCGGAACAACGGCGTGTGTCATCAGTATTGCAGTCAACTGCGTTTAGGCGATCTTTGGAGAGGATAATTCGAGGGAGCATTGTTACAGCATCTTCAAGACCTCAACCCACCCCTTCTCGTTCTGCCACCCCTCAACATACACATCCTAGAACTAGTCAGAGAGAGGAACAGCGGTCAGAGAACAGTCCATCTGTAGCATCAGGACCACAGCAAGATTCAAGAGGTAAGGTTAACCTTAGAGTGAGCGAATTTAGTTTTACACCGCTTTTGGCAATATTCTATTAATATCACAGTCGGGGACACCCACAACAGGCTCAATTTGTACCCCAGTGGTGGAAATAACTTTAAAGTTGCTAGTGTACTCCGGAACAGTGGCACATGTAAAATCACTTGCCCTGAAAATTTTTCCACTATACCGGCCGTTTTCTTGTTGACTTTTTTAAATAAACAACATAATTAACATAGGAAAGTCAACTGGACACCGGTACAGTGTGATATACAAATTTGCTTGCCTGACAGAAAAAAACACTGGACTCAGACGTCGGGCAATGGGTTATTTCCACCCCTGTACCCATGTGGGGAATCGAGCCCGGGTCTAAGGCCTGACAAACAAACACTTTAACCAATAAGCTCTGCAAAGCCCCACTTTACCTTAGAGTATAGCTGTATCTGTCAATATTACTATCAGATGTCAAAAGAAACCATGGCAAAAAAGACTTAAAGTCTGTTATCAACAGTCTGCAAAGGAGCAGTGAATCATTCCTTTTCAACATTTGTTCAAGCAAGAAATAGCTTTGCACTACAATTTGTACAAAGTATATGAACTGTACCCCACCTGGAATATTCATAACTGTATATAAAACATGCCCTTGTATCAATCTTTCTTTGTTACTTGGTAAATGTTACATATTTGAAAATTAGTTTTAAATTCTTTTTATGAACAGCTATGTTTCTGTACTTTGTGCAACAACTTGTTGGCAGAAATATCTGATGTCCTGTTGCCATGGAGACAATACAGTTGCACTTGACTGTTTACCCATTGCTTCGGACTGCCATCAGCAATTTGTAATATGGATCGTTATTTTGGATTGTTTCTGTTTCAGCTCCATCACCTCCAGAGATGCGGCTGACGCCTCCTACCAACCCTCCCACCAACCAACCTGCTGGGTATGTTCCAGATAACAACAATAAATGTCAAACTTTATTATTAATATTATTATAGGATATTTATATGGCGCACATATCTAGTGCATGCTGAAGGCACTGGTATTTTTTTCCCTCGATCATTGGATGTCAATCTCAACAGCACATCATATTATCAGTCTCAACTCCCTTGGGAGTATGCAACTCTTGCAGCCACTAGGTGCACCGAGTTATTGTGGCTTTCTCATCCATCTCATTCTAATGAAGATGAATACGTTCAAAATAGTTTAATGAGAGTGTTCGAAAGTCAGTTGAAAAAGAAAGTTTTAGTTCAACACTAAACCATTGGAGAGTATTTTTTAGCATTACTGCAGGCTTACACATGTTGTGACCTGCTGTCAGTTAGATCACGGATGGGGAAGCACTGTCCCAACTACTGTAGCCATTGTTCCCACTCAATAGATTCTTTATCAAATATACTGTTCTAAAATCCAGATATTCCTTACTTTTATTTCTGATTTTATCTCACATTTTTATCATTACTGACTGTTGACAAGTAGAAAAAGTGCTCGGAAAAGCAACTTACACTGAATCATTATCACTAAATCATCATTGTTGTCGTCAACATCATCGTTATTATAATTATAATTGCAGCATGGTTGCTCCACATGAGATGCCCACATGGCAGACAATCGCACAGGTCCACCGTGAGGAGATCGTTCAGGAGATCAGTGAGCTCCTTCATAGTCGACTTGTGTCCTCAACACTTGATGGGGAGTTCCGTGGAACTCTGGAGGTCCAGATGCAGGTGAGTGCTCCCTGTGTGCTTACGTCATGGATTAATTCCTATGCAGGGATCGAAATAGTTCTTAGATTGTGTGCCATGGCATGGTAAATATTGAAATAGCACGGATGAAATATTTTCAATGTGTCCTGGTGGCCTGACTAAAATTATATAAATATGCTCACCATGATTCATTTAATGGGAAATGCGATAAATTTGACCAAATGATTCAAAACGTATTTTACGACCCCCATCAAACTGTTTATTGGCAGAACTCTCAGTCTCACAGCTTAACACGGTTGTGGCCATTTTGGACGTCAGTGCACATAACAGGAAATCCTGTTTTGGATGATAACAGTTTTTTGGTTTAGTTTATGGATTCAGGACAAATGAACAAACTATTCTTACAATCTAATATTGTTCAGTAAATCAAGCTCTCAAATTGACAGGTTACATGATGTTCTGATTTGTTAAACAATAAACTGAAAATACATAATTGTGACGTTTTAATTGGATCAGCAAAAGGTATGGGCATGCATATTTTCACAAATGCACACTGAAATTATCAGTCTTGTGCCCTTTGGCCCCCTTTGAAAAAATGCATTTCTATCCCCGCTATGTCACAAGGTACTGACGGCAATCAACAAAACACCATGAATTATCAAGTAGTCTACAGGTGCAAATATTAACTGATTAGTTTTTGTTTTTGACCTTATGTTTTGAAGCAGTTTTGCTCATGGCCTCTGTCTGATTTTGACAGAACCATCTGGAGTCGTCAGGAGGAAACGGAGAGGCTGTTGCTACCGCCGTTCGCGTCTGCCAAACCCTGGCATTGTCCGCAATGATTTCAGTCATCTTGGTCTTGGGCAGGATCTGTTTGAGGACAATATTTCAGTCACCAGTATCAGTGCCACGGCAGTTCCATACACGCAGGTAAGTGTCTGGAACAGTTCATTTCTTGTAATAGAATCTAGCCATCTCATTGGCTAGTTGGCATTCTGTGTAAATGTAAAGAAGCAAGAAGGCCGGGCAGTCAGATATTATGAGCGAGTGAGTATGGTTTTGCGCCATTTTTAGCAACATTCCAGCAACATAACAGCGGATCAGATATTATGACATCCCGTCAGTAGGCATATATGTTCCAAGTTACTTATTATCAGTATTTTGTTTCATATCACTCACATCAATATTTCTGAAAATAAGATAGTTTACAAACTCAATAACATTGACACATTGACCATGAAAGTGGGAAGAGTTATCTCCCTTGATGTGTTTTCCCAATGCCAGATAGTGGTTGAGTGGGGATTGTTGTGCTGATTTGCACTACATCAGAGAACACCAGAAAGTGGCCTCCCATGTTATAATTATTCTTCGTAAAGCCAGTTAATACATGTTACTTACTGTTAACAATATATTTCCATTTCCAGAGCAACCTCCATCTAAGCAGAGAGATTTCAAGTCTCAAATCTCAGATGGAAGAGATGAAGAACATGATGAAACTCTCCTTTGACCTTCAACTTGACATACAGAGAGCAATCAGACAGGAAGTTGCTGCTGCAATATCCCAGGCAACAGGTAAATACATGTAGAATATACTGTTTTAGTACAACTAGAAATACAAGTCTGTGATATGATGTATTATGATCATTGATATCAAAATAACTCTCTTGATTATTGCAATGTAAATACAAATGAAATATTGATCAGATTTCAAATGTTATTTCTATTTCAAGAGGATTCTTATGAAATAAATCACAAATGAACTCAAATATTGTTATTACACGCTTGAATGAGTTGTCATGAACGAAATTTACGAAAAAGAAATTATGTTTGTGTTGCATTATTATTATTGTTGTTATTATTATTATCATTTCTCTTTCAGCAGGAGCTGCAGCCGCTCCACCTATGCCAGCGACAACATCACGCCCTGTCAACGACACCCACTGTCTGATCTGCCTGGAGAACAACACTGATACCGTTCTCTACCAGTGTGGACACATGTGCCTGTGTTACGCCTGTGGTAAGCACCTGGTGTCCCAGAGTGGCAAGTGCCCTGTCTGCCGAGCACCAATCAAAGACATCATCCGTGCTTACAAATGCAACATTGAGTGAAACAACCATTCATTAATAGTGTGACCTTGTTAATACAGACATCCGAGAATACAGCGATGGGGCATCTTTGTTTGGACAAATATTTTGCTTACTGAGCTAATACCATGGCAAATTATCGAATTAAACGTAAATATTTTCACCAAAATGATGAAAAATGTCCATGATACTTCAACTTTTCTTGTATGATTGATGATTCATGATTCTGATCCAGTTTAAAGCATGGCCAGTGGTTTTTTTTGCTTAGATTGGATATCAGTTCATCCACATGCTCCAAGAAGATTTTCCTTTTGTTCTCATGGCTGTGAAGGTCAAAGTACTCAGTCACTATGTTTTATGCACAAGTCGTCAATTCTGACCTTGTACCTATCATAAATATCAGACGAATTACTCTCTTGATTTGTGAACTGACCATCAATTTGTTAACAACTTCAGATTTTCAACAAGATAAAGAAGGGGTTTGGGGTATTGTGCAATATTTTAATACCACTCTCTTCAAAAGGATTGATTTTCATCAAAGTATTATCTTCATGAAATTTTGAAGATCAGATGGAACACAGACAACTTAAACAACTAATACTTTAAGGAGTCAGGAAATAAAGAATTTAAATTAAAAAAAACTTTACAAAGGATAAGTTACATATCCAAAACATCATGTTACTCTTGGAGCGGGTTTATTTTAATCTTACCCCATTGCTAGATATGAAAGAATGGAATATTTCAGGGTTTATTTTCCAGTGCTGAAAATGTGTGCATGCAACAGATGTTCATCATTTTTCACTGTCATATTTTCTTTGTGAATACCATTCCTTGATTTCCTGTTCCTTGTGAGGACAGGACCCTTGTACATCATGTTTGTTGTGAGAGCTAACAAGATCAAGCAGAGTTGGTCATACTATGTTTCATGTTTGTTGTGAGAGCTAACAAGATCAAGCAGAGTTGGTCATACTATGTTTCATGTTTGTTGTGAGAGCTAACAAGATCAAGCAGAGTTGGTCATACTATGTTTCATGTTTGTTGAGAGCTGATCAAGCAAGAGAGTTGGTCATACTATGTTTCATGTTTGTTGTGAGAGCTAACAAGATCAAGCAGAGTTGGTCATACTATGTTTCATGTTTGTTGTGAGAGCTAACAAGATCAAGCAGAGTTGGTCATACTATGTTTCATGTTTGTTGTGAGAGCTAATAAGATCTTGGTCATACTAAGAGATCAAGCAGAGTTGGTCATACTATGTTTCATGTTTGTTGTGAGAGCTAACAAGATCAAGCAGAGTTGGTCATACTATGTTTCATGTTTGTTGTGAGAGCTAATAAGATCAAGCAGAGTTGGTCATACTATGTTTCACAAATGTATGTCATTGCATTTTGTAGTGCCAGGGATTTGTCTTGGTGGTATTTTAACATGGCATTCAAATCAGTAATGTGAAATTCAGCCTTTTCCTTTTTATTAATAGGGTCTGTTTACAATGGAATGCAGGTTACCTCAACCAAACCATTGCACCAGTTGTAGAAATATTTACATGAAATGGGAACTTTTTTATTCCTATTGGGGTATTTTTATAAACAGCTACGACAGACCTTTGGCAGAATATTGGCCTCTGTTTGGGTCCGGATAGATCACTGGCAGGTTAGATCATTGTTCATGCTTTGAGACTCGAGATCATTTGGTACGGGTCCAGACTGTTGTTTATATGCAGCCATAATATAGCTGGGATATTGCTGACTTGTGTTAAGGATGGTGGGGTAGCCTAGTGGTTAAAGCGTCCTCTCATCACGCCAAAGACCCGGGTTCGATTCTCCACATGGGTACAATGTGTGAAGCCCATTTCTGGTGTCTGCCCCCGTGATATTGCTGGAATATTGTTTGAAGTGTGGCAAAACCATACTCACTGACTTGTGTTATACAACATTAACACACTCGCTCTACGTCAAGGTATGGCTGAATCTGTGTGATACCAACAGTTTGAAATGGAGATATTCTGCTGTGAAAGAGATTTTCTGTTCAGTCAAGTGATAGCTGGCTATCGTGACATGTGTGTAAAAAATCACCAATTTATTGTTATTTGTTTTATGTATATTTGTATATTATATTGTTTATCAATAAAGTCATATATTCTATATTTGTCATATGTTATGTTTACATCTTTGGGTCATCTGAGAGCTGAGGTGGTGAGGTAGCCTAGTGGTTAAAGCATTCGCCGATCACACTGTAGACCCCTTCTCAATTCCGCACATGGGTACAATCTGTGAAGCCCATTTCTTGTGTCCCTGCCATGATGGAATATTGCTAAAAGCGGCACAAAACTAAACTCACTCACTCACTCATCTGAGCGCTGGAATTTGTTGTACAGAGTTTCCTCCCTTATGTAAACATCCTGTGATGGTTTGTTCGAATCCAGATTCAATCTGATTATGATTCTTGATTTGGTTGTGAGTTTCAGTAGCATGATGAAGTGTAAGACAGTTTATTTCTAATTTAAATTTGGTGATATAACAGAAATACTGTTTAAAGGACCTGTGAAGATTAGGGTTAGAATTGATCTTCAGTATCCCATGCTTGTCGTAAGAGATGAATAGTGGATCGGGTGGTCAGGCTCGCTGACTTGGTTAACACATGTCATCGGATCCTAATTGTGTAGGTCGATGATTATGCTGTTGATCACTGTATTGTCTGGTCCAGACTCGATTATTTACATACTGATGCCATATACCTGGAATATTGCAGAGTGCAGCGTTAAACAACAAACACACACACCTCCCTGATATATGCAGTCATTTGACTGCCCTTCTCAACTGGTAATCTGTGATTAGGTGTTCTACATTTAACAAGTGGCCAAAATTGTCAAGCGAGTCTGAATATATTACATGGGTGAGTCAGTTGGATCTTCGGCTGCTTTTATTCCAGCAATATCACGGTGGTGGACACCAGGAATGGAGGTCACACATAGTACACATGTCCACTGAGCTATAACACTCCCCAGTATAATGTGTCTCAGTTGGGTATTCATGCTTCACTGCGGCATGGTATCTCAGTGGGCTAGTACTATAAAACCAGCTTCAGTCTGGGCTAGTACAAGCAGCCGCACACACACATACACACGCATGCACGTCGTCATATGAGCGAAATATTCTCAAGCACGACGATAAACCCAATTCCACCACCACATAGTTGTTCAAAAGACATGCAATCGCCAACGGCTGAAGGGATGATATAAATCCAGCTAGGGTCTATGCAGGTAGCAAAGTTACTGTAAGTTCCCATGGTGTCTAGTAAATGGTCATTTAGTTGTTGGTGATCTATAGCCCGGTTTTTATATCATATTGTCCCAAATAGTCATTCAATTTTAAGTTAAATGCTAATTTTAATATCTCAAATTGTGATATTCTAGTTGTTTTACTGTCCTTTGTCGACAGATTTTATACTGTAATATTATCTATTGTTATCGTATTGCCTGTTTTATTCACGACATGGCTGAAGTATTGCTGATGTAACAATAAATTTTAACTAACTCACTCACTTAAAATACATACAGTTGTTATGTGAGAAAAGTGTGTGCAACCAATCACATATCTTGCAGAAGAGACCGGAACAAGAATAGATCGCCTGTGTTGTATACTTGCACCAGTGCAGATCTGGATGTCGTCGTCGACGCTGACGGAATCTGACGACACCAAGACAACACGTGGTACGCAGGCTGTCGTCTGAGTGAAGCAGTACCCGACAGCAACAACACACAACAAACCCATTACGGTACAACACTGGTTGGGTAGTCCGACATCAGATGCACTACTACTACTACTACGACTACTACTACTACTACTACAACTACCACCACCACCCACTACTACTACCAACACCTACTCTACAACTACTACCACCACCACCACCACAAAAACAAGTACTACCACTACTACTACTACTACTACTACTACTACTACTACCACCACCACCACAACAACAACTACTACTACTACTACTACTACTACTACTACTACTACTACTACTACTACCACCACCACCACCACCACCACCACAACAACTACTACTACTACTACTACTACTACTACTACTATTACTACTACTACTACCACTCACTACTACTACTACTACTACCCTCTACTACTACTACTACTACTACTACCACAACAAGTACTCACCAATACCACTACTACTACTACTACTACTACTACTACTACTACTACTACTACTACTACTACCACCACCACTTACCACTACAACAAGTACTACTACTACTACTACTACTACTACTTACTACTACTACTACCACCACCACCTTACTAACAACAAGATACTACTACTACCACTACTACTACTACTACTACAACTACCACCACCACCCACTACTACTACCAACACCCACTCTACAACTACTACCACCACCACCACAACAACAACAAGTACTACCACTACTACTACTACCACTACAACTACCACCACCACCCACTACTACTACCAACACCCACTCTACAACTACTACTACCACCACCACAACTACTACAACAAGTACTACTACTACTACTACTACCACTACTACTACTACTACCACTACCAACATCACCCACTACTACTACTGACTACTACTACTACTAACTACTACTACCACCACCACCACTTCACACAACAAGTACTACTACTACTACTACCTACTACTACCACACTACTACTACTACTACTACTCCTACCAACACCACCCACTACTACTACCAACAACCACTACTACAACTACTACTACTACTACTACCACCACAACTCTACACAAGTACTACTTACTCACTTCTGCTACTACTACTACTACCACTACCACCACCACCACACCAACTACTACTACTACTACTACTACTTCTACTACTACTACTACTACCACTCACCTCCACAACAAGTACTACCACTACTACTACAGCTACCACTACTTTACTACTACTACCACCACTACTACTACAGCACACCACCACTACTACTACTACTACCAACACCCACTTACTACAACTACTACCACTACTACTACAACAACACAACTACTTCCACTACTACTACTACTACAACTACCACCACCCACCCACTACTACTACTACACACCCACTCTACTACTACTACCACACTACTACCACTACTACCACTACATACTACCTACTACTACTACTACTAACTACCACCACCACCCACTACTACTACCAACACCTACTCTACAACTACTACCACCACCGCCACAACAAGTACTACCACTACTACCACTACTACTACTACTACTACAACTACCACCACCACCACTACTACTACTACTACCCACTCTACACTACTACTACCACTTACTACCACAACGAGTACTACCACTACTACTACTACTACTACTACTACTACTACTACTACCACCACTACCACAACAAGTACTACTACCACTACTACTACTACTACAACTAATTACCACCACCCACTACTACTACTACTAACACCACCACTAAACTACTACTACCACTACCACCACAACAACTAACTACTACTACTACTACTACTACTACTACTACTACTACACTACTACCACCACCACCACACTACTACTTCACTACTACCACTACTACCACTACTACTACTACTACTACCACCACCACTACCACAAGTACTACCACTACTACCTTCTAACTACTACTACTACTACTACTACTACTACTACTACTACTTCACTTACCACTACTACTACTAGTACTACCACCACTACTACTACTACAACTACTACCACCACTTACTCACACAACAAGTACTACTACCACTACTACTACTACTACAACTACCACTACACTACCCACTACTACTACCAACACTACTACTACAACTACTACCACTACTCCACAACAACTACTACTACTACTTACTACTACCACTACTACTACTACTACTACTACTAACACAACCATCACACTAAGTACTACTACCACTACTACACTACTACTACTACTACAACCACCACCATTAAATCCACCCACTTCTACTTCACCACTACCCTCTACTACAACTACTACTACCACCACCACATTGCAAGTACTACCACTACTACTACTACTACTACTACTTACTACTACTACCACTACCACCCACTACTACTACCAACACCCACTCTACACATACTACCACCACTCACCACCACCACCACTACAACAGTACTACCACTTACTACTACTACTACTACTACTACTACTACTACTACTACTACTACTACCACCACTACATACTACTAACAACAACAAGTACTACTACTACTACTACTACTACTACCACTACTACTACTACTACCACCACCACCACCATCACAACAACAACAAGTACTACTACTACTACTACAACTACTACTACTACCACCACCACAAGTACTACACCTCATACTACTACTTCTACTACTTACTACTACTACTACTACTACTACTACTACTACTACTAACACCCACTACTACAACTACTACTACCAACTACTACTACAACCATTACAACAAACAACACCACTATTACCACTACTTCTACTACTACTAACTACTACTACTACCACCTTACTACTACTACTACTACTCTACAACTACTACTACTACTACCACTACTACTACAACAACACTACTACTACCACTACTACTACTACTACTACTACTACTACTACTACTACTACTACTACTACCACTACCTACTACTACTCACTACTAACTACTACTACTACTTACTACTACTACTACTACTACTACTACTACTACAACAAGTACTACTTACTACTACTACTACTACTACTACTACTACTACTACTACTTACTACTACTACCACTACTACTACTCACACTACTTACTACTTACTACTACTACTACTACTACTACCACTACTACTACTACTACTACTACTACTAACACTATCTCTAAAACTACTACCACTACTACTACTACTACAAGTACTACTACTCACTACTACTACTACTACTACTACTACTACTACTAACTACTACTTACTACCTACTACTACTACTAACACCTGTACTCTACAACTACTACTACTACCACTACCACAACGAGTACAAACCACTACTACTACTACTACTACTACTACACTACTACTATTACCTACACCTCACCACAACAAGTACTACTACTACTACTACTACTACAACTACTACTACTTACCACTACTACCACTACTACACCACCATCTACTAACTACTACTACCACTACTACCACTACAACTACTACTTACTACTACTACTACTACTACTACTTACAACTACTACTACTACTACTACCACTACTACTACTACTAACACCCACTCACAACAACTACTACTACTACTACTACTACTACTACAACAAGTACTACCACTACTACTACTACTACTACTACTACTACAACTATTAACACTAATTACCACTACAACAAGTACTACTACTACTACTACTACTACTACTACTACTACTACTACTACCACTACTACCACTACTACTACTAACACCCACTCTACAACTACTACTACTACTATTACCACAACAAGTACTACACTACTACTACTACTACTACAACTACTACTACTACTACTACTACTACTACTACTACACCACCTAACACACACTACTACTACTACTACTACTACTACTACTACTACTACTACTACTACAACTACTACCACTACCACCACAACAAGTACTACCACTACTACTACTACTACTACTACTACTACTACCACTACTACTACTACTACTACTCACCAACACCCACTCTACACACTACTACTACCACCACCACCACCACAACAAGTACTACCACTACTACTACTACTACTACTACTACTACTACTACTACTACTACTACTACTACTACTACTACTACCACTACTACAACAACTACTACTACTACTACTACTACTACTACTACTACTACTACTACTACTACTACTACTCACCACAACAACTACAACAACTACTACTACTACTACTACTACTACTACAACTTCACTACTACTACTACTACCACAACTACTACTACTACTACTACTACTACTACTACTACTACAACTACTACCACCACCCTACTACTACTACTACTACTAACACCTTACTTA